GCACTTGTACCCCAATGTTTATAGCAGCACTCTCAACAATAGCAAATTATGGAAGGAGCCTAAATGTCCATCAACTGATGAATGGATAAAGAAATTGTGGTTTATATACACAATGGAATACTGCGTGGCAATGAGAAAGAATGAAATATGGCCCTTTTTAGCAACATGGATGGAACTGGAGAGTGTTATGCTAAGTGAAATAAGCCATACAGAGAAAGACAGATACCATATGGTTTCACTCTTATGTGGATCCTGAGAAACTTAACAGAAACCCAGGGGGGAGGGGAAGGAAAAAAAAAAAAAGAGGTTAAAGTGGAAGAGAGCCAAAGCATAAGAGACTCTTAAACACTGAGAACAAACTGAGGGTTGATGGGGGGTGGGAGGAAGGGGAGGGTGGGTGATGGGTATTGAGGAGGGCACCTTTTGGGATGAGCACTGGGTGTTGTATGGAAACCAATTTGACAATAAACTTCATATATTGAAAGAGAAAGAAAAGAAAGAAAGAAAGAAAGAAAGAAAGAAAGAAAGAAAAGAAAGAAGTATTCAGTTGAAAAAAAAATAAATCACAGTGATTGTTGCTTACCAAAAAAAAAAAAAAAAAACAGAATATAATGACAGACTGAAAAATTCAAGACAGAGCTTCACCAACTCCCTTAATCATGCAGAAGAAAGAATCAACTATCTTGAAGACGGATCATTTGAAATTAAAGGAATAAAAAGAAAAGGAATGAAAATGAGTGAAAAAAGCCTACACGAATTATGGAACACTATCAAGCAAAAGAATGTTTGCATCATGGGCATCCCAGGAAAGGAGAAAAAGGGGTGGAAATATTATTCAAAGAAATAATAGCTAAAATCTTCCTAAATCTTGAGGGAGAGATGAATAACCAGGTTCACGCAGCTCAGAGGACCCCAAGCAAGATCCATTGAAAGAAGATTACTCTAAAACACATTATAATTAAAATATTAAAAATCAAGGACAGGGAGAGGCTTTTGAAAGCAGCAAGAGAAAAATTGCTCATCACATACAATGGAACTCCCATAGGGCTATCAGCAGATTTTTCTGCAGAAACCATGAGGTCAGGAGGGAGTGCGATGATATATTCAAAGTGTTGAGAGGAAAAACTGCCAACCAAGAATACTGTCTTTTGGGTTCCTGGACCCAGTTCCAGAGGCAGGTAGGGGGCTTCCCAACATACCACTATACTATGTAAGTCCAGGTTGTTACCTGTACTTTGACCAACTAGCTATAAATCAGAGATTCCCACAATCCTTTCCTCAGTTTTTATTAGCTTGCTAGAGCAACTCACAGAACTCAGAGAGGAATTTTTCTCCCTAGGCCACCAGTTGATTACAAAGGTATGTAACTCAGGCACAGCCAGATGGCAGATATGCATCGGCAAGGTCTGGGGAAAGGGTACAGACCCTCCATTCCCTCCAGGCACGCCACTCTTCCACATCTCCATGTGTTCACCAATGTGAAAGCTCTCCAAAGCCCATCTTTTGGGTTTTTATGGTGGCTTCATCACATAGGCATGATTGGCAAGAATTATTGGCCATTGGAGATTGATTCAGTCTCCAGTCTCACTGCCCTTCCAGGAGTCTATGGACAGGACTAAAGGTTCTAACTCTCTGATCATATAGTTGATTCTCGTAGCAACCAGCCCCCCTCCTTAGGCGGGGATCCAAAACTCACCTCATTAACATAACAAAAGACACCTTTATCACTCTCATCACTTAGGAAATTCCAAGGGTTTTGGATTAAAAAAATTTTTTTAATGTTTATTTATTTTTGAGAGACAGAGAAACAGAGCGCAAGCAGGGAGAGGCAGAGACAGAGGGAGACGCAGAATCCAAAGCAGGCTCTAGGCTCTGAGCTGTCAGCACAGAGCCCAACATTGAGCTCAAACTCACAAACCATGAGATCATGACCTGAGCTGAAGTCGAAGTCCATATTTAATGGACTGAGCCACCCAGGCACCCCGGAAATCCCAAGGGTTTTGGGAGATGTGCGTGAGGAACAGTGGACAAAGACAAAATATATATGAGTTGACCAAATATATATGTCTTATAAATCACAATATAGCATAAACCCAGCAAAACTGTCCTTCAGAAATTAAGGAGAGATACATTCCCAAACAAAAGCTAAGGGAATTCATCACCACTGGACCTGACTTATGAAAAATGGTAAAAAGAGTTCTTGAAATGAAAGAATGCTAGAAAAATACAAGCTTCCACTTGTGGAATGAATAAATCATGGGAATAAAAGGAACAGCATAGAGAATATAGTCAATGCCATTATAATAGATGGTAGCTATGCTTGTGATAAGCATAGCATAATGTATGAACTTGTCAAATTACTATTTGTATACTGGAAACTAATGTAACATTGTGTGTCAAGTACACATCAATAAAAAATTTAAAAATGGGGTGCCTGAATGGCTCAATCAGTTAAGTGTCCGAAATCTCTTGATTTCAGCTCAAGTCATGATCTCATGGTCTTGAGATTGAGCCCTGTGTCAGGCTCTGCACTGGGCCTGAGGCCTTCATGGAATTATCTTTCTCCCTCTCCCTCTGCCCCTTCCCACCTCAAAAAAAATTGTCCTTTTTAAAAAGTAATTTAAAAATTGGGGTGCCTGGGTGGCTCAATGGGTTAAGCGTCCAACTCTTGCTTTTGGCTCAGGTCATGATCTCACAGTTCATGGGATTGAGCCCTGTGTCGGGCTCCATGCTGCCAGCACAGAGCCTACTTAGGATTCTCTCTCTCTCTCTGCCCCTCCCCTGCTTGCTTGCTCTCCCTCTCTCAAAATAAACATTTAAAAACTAAAAATAAATAAAAATAAAATAAATTATATGATCCTGTCAATAGATGCAGAAGAAGGGTTTGAAAAAATTCAACACCCTTTCATGATGAAAACTCGGAACAATCTGAGTATAGAAGGTTACCTCAACATAATAAAGACCATGTATTACAAACACAGCTAACATCAGACTCGATGAAAAACTAAGAGCTTTTTCTCTAAAATCAGAAATAAGAGTGCCTACTCTAGCCATTCCTATCCAATGTAGTACTGGAAATCCTAGCTAGAACAATTAGGCAAGAAAAAGAAATGAAAAGCATACAAATAGGAAAGGAAAAAGTAAAATTGTCTGTGTTTGCAGATAACTTGATCTCATGTATAAAAAAAAAAACCCTAAAAATTCCACTAAAGCACTGTTAGAACTAATAAATAAATTCAGGAAAGTTGTAGGATACTATAAGAAAAGTATAGACCATGGGACACCTGGGGGAAATACTTAGGAATAAATTTAACCAAAGGAAGTAAAAGACACGTACATTGAAAACCTTAAGACACTGATGAAAGAAATTGAAGAAGGCACAAACAAATGTTAAGATATTTCATGATGGAACCACAAAATACCCTGAATAGCCCAGGCAATCTTGAGGAAGAATAATAAAGCTAGAGGCATCACACTTCCTGGTTTCCAACTATACTGCAAGGCTGTAGCAATCAAAACAGTGTGATGCTGTTGTAAAAACAGACACATAGACCTATGGAACAGAATTAAGAGCCCAGAAATAAACCCATGCATTTTTGTCAACTAATATTTGACAAGGGAGCTAAGAATATTCAACGGGGAAAGGATGGCCCTTTCAATAATTGGTGCTGGGAAAACTGGATATCTACATGCAAATGAATGAAATTAGGCCACTATCTTACACCACTCAAAAATTAACTCAGAATTAGGGCACCTGGGTGGCTCAGTCAGTTGAGCATGTCTGACTCTTGATTTTGACTCAGGTCATGACCCCGGGGTCATGGTATCGAGCCCTGCCATCAGGCTACACATTACATCTACACAGCTACACATCTGGAGCATCACATGCTACAGAGAAATCACTCATGGAAGGGAAAGTCAATAGATGTGGAAACTTCATTGTTAATCTTATTTTAAGAAATTGCCACAGCCACTCCAGCCTTCAGCTGCCACCATCCTGGTCAGTCAGCAGCCATTGACATTGAGGCAGGACCCTCCAGCAGCAAAAAAATAACTAATTTTTTTTAATGTTTATTTATTTCTGAGAGAGAGAGAGATTGAGAGAGAAAGAGATTGTGAGTGGGACAGAGAGAGAGAGAGAAAATCCCAAGCAGGCTCCCTGCTGTCAGTGCAGAGCCCAACACGGGGCAATTGCACATTTAATAGACTACACTGTAGTGTAAACATAACTTTATATGCGCTGGGAACCAAAACTTTTATTTACCTCACTTTATTGTGATACTTGCTTTATGGTGGTATTCCGGAACCGAACCCACAATATCTCCAAGGCATGCCTATACCAATGTAAACAAGCCAGACCAGTTTAAGATAAACACCAGTCCAGCACCTTTTTTCTTTTTTTAGGCCTGCATGCTTGTTTTTCAACCAGACCTCGATATCGCACTCCCTGACCTAGCTGAGAACAATGAAGTGATTATTTGTCTTGACTGCTCCGCTTCCATGGAGGGTGCGACATTCTTGCAAGCCAAGCAAATTGCCTTATATGCACTGTCCTTGGTGGGAAAGAAGCAAAAGATAAACATTGTCAAGTTTGGCACAGGTGAGTGCTCTTTGGCCCCAGTCCAAAGCGTGCTTCCTCCTTAATATGAACATGCTCATGGGTAGAGCTGATGGCTGTTAGTACCCTGACCTCACCTATGGAGTAAGAGGTAGCATAGCATGGAGTTCAAGAACCAGAACACCGGAGCCAGATCCCTGGCTTCACATTCCAACTCTATCACTTACTAGCCCTGGCTGTCACCTTGGGCAAATTACTTGAACTTTTTATACCTCAGTTTCCTCATCTGTAATATAAGGGTGATAGTTCCTACCTCACAGTGTTGTTGTAAGGATTGAGCTAATGCCTGTAAAGGATTTAAAACAGTGCCTGTCACATATCAAGTGCTTTATAAATACTACTAGTGTTCCTAGCAGCTGAACCAAATGCAAGACCCTTGGTTGAGATGTATGAGGGTCCCAAGCATATGGGCAGAACATGTGAAATCAGCACAATGTAGAAAATCTATAAGGGTTCAGCAAGCATCAGATCAGCCCTTTTAGAGGAAAAGCAATACCATCCGCCAGGTGGGGGTCCAGGGACATGTCAGCCACCAGAAGAAGGTATTTCAGGAATGAGAGAAAGAACCGGAGTAGAGTGAGGGGGCAGTCTGGTCCTGATGATTCTTACTTTCCATCCCATTGAGCAGAAGACCTGCCCTTTTATGGAGGAGCTAGGGTCTGCTGCTGCTGGGCAAAGGTCAGATAAGCCTGGGAAAACCAAGGCCCTGGGAAGGAGAACGTGTCCCTCCCGTGGCCAGGCTGCCTGTGCTGTTGTGACACCCCACATCTTACTTTGCGTGAGCAATCTGCTACAGAACAGAAGTCTACATGTAATTTTATTCAGGACACTTTGCATTGTAAAGTGCATAGTTTCAGTGCACTAGAGTTTATTACTTAAAGGAATAGTGTGCTGAATTTTTGGTATGTTAAAACTATCAAACATTGTTAATGGTCAGTAAAGTGAATATTTCATAGCTACACCTCACGCCAATCTTATCACACAGGTTACAAGGAATTATTTTCATATCCTAAGTATATCACAAGCAACAATGTGCCAACAGAGTTCATTATGGTGAGTAAAAGGACCTTCCTTCATCTCTTGGGTCTTTTCCTATCAAGGTTTAACAGTACTGTCCAGACTTATTCCCCCCACGAGCACTATTGGAACACCCCCAGTCCTTCAGTTTTTGTATGTTGGTGGGCTCTTTTATTTTATTAATAAAAGCCATATGAACTCACTAAAAAAAAACTGGAAATTAAAAAGGGTAGAAAGAAAAAAATCACCCACATTCCTACCACCTAAATGCAGCAGCGTTGGAATGTTTTCTTCTGTTCCTTTTTTTCTATTTCTGGACATAGCAAGCTGAGAATGACTAATTGCTTCCTCAGTCCATGCCAGCAAACCCTGGGGAAGCATAAAAAAAGTCAAATAAGTGTCCACTGATAATATTATAGTGACTGTGTGACATAAAACAAACTAAGAGGATATAAGTGTAGTTGTTGCACAAATGTATAATTGAGAAAAAAATACATCTTTTCAGTGACGATGTCTCTAAACCCTCACTGAGACGTGCTTCAGTAAATGATGACAGTTAATGGTGAATAGACCCCAAAAGTAGTAAATAACCTTTCACTTCATTTCCTCTAGTCTGCTACACCTACCATGGGAAATACAGACTTCTGGAAAACACTCCGGTATTTAAATTTACTGTACCCTTCTCAAGGGTTACGGAACATTCTCCTTATATCTGATGGGCACCTCCAGAATGAGAGTCTGACATTGCAGCTTGTGAAAAGAAATGTCCAACACACCAGGCTGTTCTCCTGTGGTATTGGGTAAGTGTGGGAGGTCTAGTGACACAGTGAACACTGTGGGTGAAGAAGGCAGCCTGTGGGCAGGGTTTTTCTTGTTGGCCTACACAGGATTTCTAGAAGTTTTGAAGTTGATAACGGTGTATAGAAACTGTTTAGCATATAGTTGTAGAGCTCTGGGCTCTGAGACTGCCTGGGTCTCAATACCTGAATTGGCCATTTGTTAGCTCTGACCTTGGGCATATTGTTAAATCTCTTGTGTATAAAATGAAGATGATAGTGAAAAAGTCATAGATTTAATAGATTTACTCTGAGGATTCAATGAGCTCATATATAAAAAGTACTTACAGGGCACCTGGGTGGCTCAGTCAGTTAAGCGTCTGACTCTTGATTTTGGTTCAGGTCATGATCTCACTGTTTGTGAGTTCCAGCCCCGTGTAGGGCTCTACACTGACAGTATGGAGCCTACTTGGGATTCTCTCTCTCTCTCTCTCTCTCTCTCTCTTTCCCTGCCAAGCTTACAGTCTCTCTGTCTCTCTCTGTCTCTGTCTCTCTCTCGAAAATAAATAAATAAACATTAAAAAAATAAACATAAAAAGTACTTAAGAATAGTCTTAAGAACAGAGATGGCACATGGCAAACACCAAGTCAACGTTAGATATTTTATGTTACATAAAAATCCAGATTTCCAGCCTATCCTGAGAAGCCTGAAGTGCCGGGCGCACCCCCACCCCTGGCGGTTTGTGACCAGGGCTGAGGGTCCCACCCACGCTCTTGATCCTTCACACCTTTGTGGTGGCTGCCACATTTGCATTTTCAAACCCTATAATGGACTTAAGATCTCTCTCTCTGGAGGCTAGACCCTCTTCATTGTTGGAATGAACCCCCACCCCAATTATAGTTAGCTGTTTTGGACGAAACCGAGGTGTATGGTGTAAACATAAGGAAAACACCAAGGGCCAGACTGGTGTTTGCACAGAGCATGCCTGCACCCTCGTCTCCTGGGACTCTCCCCCACATAGTCACCATCCTGGGAAATGATCACCAGGCCTCCCTATTCTGAGGCAGTGCATGGAGCGGGAGAGCTCCTCAACACAGGGGTAGGGGTGGAGGTGGGTGTTGCTGTTCTCTGGGGCCACTGTGCTGTCCTGGACCGGGGTCCTCCTCAGGCCTCGGCCATGACTTTCAGGAGCTGGAGCCCTAGACACCCTTTGAGGGCCCTGTACCCAAGCCAGACCTGCCTGCCCAGAGGGCTCTTCTCCTCTGTCTGCCCTGCCTCAGTCACAGCTCCAGTCCTGTTCCCTAATGTGAGAGCTGGGCACCACAGACCAACCAGGAAATTATCCAGCCCCCCCGTGGACTTCCTCAGCAAGTGCTCCTAAATGGACTTCACCTGAGTAACTTGTGCCTGTACACACAGGGGGCTGGCCGCAACATGCTGCAGGGACCTGCCTCCTCCCTGCTCCCCTGACCGTGTGGCAGAGGCAGTGCCAGGGTCGTGGCTCAGACATCAGTGCAGAAGACACCGGGCCCTGTTGATACCTTTTTTGCTGAAGGCCTGTCATGAGACAGATGCGCCTTGGTGCAGGACCACAGTGCCGGGTATGGGGAGCCAGACAGCAAACAACCCAGTAAGCTCAAAGGGAGATGGGTTTTCCTAAGTGCCACGAAGGCAGTAGGGGAGGACGCCATGATGGGGGTGGGTGGGCACAAACCTCCTTTGGGAGGTGACTTTGTGCTCTCACACAACCCAGCCTGAGGGAGCTGGAAGTTTTACTGATTTTCTGTCAGGTTTTTAGGATCTTTCTACAGGTTTCTCATACTCATTTGTGTTCACAAACTCTAGCAACATGTGAGTTCTCCAGGAGTAGAGACTGAACTATTGCCTATTGTAACAAGCTGTCCCCTGAGGTCCGCACAGCAGGAGCAAAAACAGATTCCAAGCAGCCTTACTAGCTGATGAAATTGGTGAAAGAGAAATAAACTCCAGCTTAGGGGGATTCTCTAACTGGTGTTGTAGTCACCACCAATTAATTTTGAAGACTAAAGACAAATCCAATCTTTAATAAATAGGTTAAGACATATTTCAGAAATAAATAACTTTCTTAAGCTCTTTTCCTGAAAAATAATTGTTTCTTTATTATTTTAGGAGGAACGTCTCTAAGAAAAGCTTTCTTAATAGTTACAGAATTATTATCAAGAGAAATTTAATACATTGTCATTCAAATAGCAAAGCTTATTTTTGCTAGAAAGACACTTCCCTATCCTTTTTGCTATCTAGTTGTGCATCACAGTTTTTTAATGTTTGTTTGTTTGTTTGTTTGTTTGTTTGTTTGTTTTGAGAGACAGAGATAAAGAGCAGGGGAGGATCAGAAAGAGAGGGAGAGAGGGAATCCCAAGCAGGCCCTGCACAGTCAGCGCAGAGCCCAATGCGAGGCTTGGCCTCACAAACCATGATATCATGACCTGAGCCAAAATCAAGAGTGGGACGTTTTATCGGCTGAGCCACCCATGTGCCCCCAGATGTGCATTATATTTGAAGATGTAGACTTTATTAACTCTTTGCCAGTTCTTGGCCTTTGGGATCAAATTTAGGTAACTGGCATTCATTGAAAGCAGGTTGATATTTTTACCAGTATTCTGATAACTTTTCAGAGGTTTTTCAGAATCATCTATTCTCTCTTTTGGTAAAACAGGAGTCAAGAATTTCTGCTTTTTTTTTTTTTCTATTGTGAAAGAGAAATAGGTTTTCTGATATATGGGAGCCTAAATTACCCAAAGCTTCAGATGTTTCATACTGTCTGTCCTGAGTTTTATCTCTCTAACTTCAACTACAGAAAAGCAATTCTTCTGCATATAATGTTTCCTCTATTGAGTTCTGAACTATATCAACACTGTTAACTACATGTACTTCAAAAACATTTCTAAAATTTCTTGAAGATTATAACATGTGAAATGTGATCAGTTCTACAGCAAATCGTCATATCTTAAGGACTTTGTCCCAGTACGGTGCTGGAGTATTTGAGTATTTTAACTCAAAATCCAAACACAGTTGGAAAAAACAGGTACGTTTCTCAAACATCTTATTTCTAGTTTTATGCTTATATGTGGAAATAATATCTTCTTACAAATCCATTGACAGTAACTTCTGTGTTTTCGTTAATAGAAAGGGGCCCTACAAAAAGGCCACAGGCCTGAAGGTATTGCACCCCTCAGTTATTGTCTAACATCTAGCAGAAACATTCTCCTTAATTGGGTCATTCTCTTAGCTTGTAGTTTGATTTCTTCTTTATAAAGTATCATGGGGGATTTTTAAAGGTAAAGTAGTATCCATGTTTTGTTAGCATTATCTGTCATTGTGGCAAAATATACATAAAATTTACCATTTAACCATTTTTAGTGGCATTCAGTGGCATTAAGGCACATTCGTAATGTTGTGCAGCCATCACCTCCATCCATCTCCAGAATTTTTCATCATCCGAAACAGAAACTCAATTCATTAAAGAGCTGCTCCCATTGTACCTACACCCCAGCCCCTGCCAACTACCATTCTACTTTCTTTCTGTGAATTTGACTGCTTTAGATACTTCATGTAAGCGGAATCCTATAGTGTTTGTCCTTTTGTGCCTGGCTTATTTCACTTGGTATAATATTTTCAAGATCTATGCACATTGTAGACTATGTCAGAATTTTCTTCCTTTTTAAAGGCTAAGTAATATTTCATTGTGTGCACACACCACATTTTGTTTATGGGTTCATTTGTTGATAGACATTTGTGTTGTTTCCACCTTTTAGTTGTTATGAGTTATGCTGCTCTGAGTATTGACACACAAGCATGTGTTCAGGACTCTGATTTCAGTTATTTTAGATGTATACCCAGAGGTGGAATTTCTGGGTCATATGGTAATTCTGTGTTTAGCTTTTTGGAACTGCCATACTGTTGTTCATAGCAGCTGCACCATTTTATATTCCCATCAGCAATGTACTAGGATTCTAGTTTTTCTACATAATCAATAGCACTTGTTGTTTTGGGGGGGGGTTGTTTTGTTTCATAATAACCATTGTAGAGTGTGAAGTTGTATTTCATTGGGGTTTTGATTTGCATTTTCCTAATTACTAGTGATGTTGAACAACTTCTCATGTGCTCCTTGGCCATCCGTACACCTTCTTTGGAAAACATCTATTCAAGCCCTTTGTAGGATTAATTTGTATAATTGGAATCTACTCCCTGCAAAAGTTGTATATTAGTAATTAACTAATGGAATGATTTAGGGATGTTTTGCACGTTTAAATTATGTGCTAATGCTATTAAGAACTCTATTTAAGGGGCGCCTGGGTGGCTCAGTCGGTTGAACGTCCAACTTCAGCTCAGGTCGTGATCTCACGGTCCGTGAGTTTGAGCCCCACGTCGGGCTCTGTACTGACAGCTCAGAGCCTGGAGCCTGTTTCAGATTCTGTGTCTCCCTCTCTCTCTCCCCCTCCCCCATTCATGCTCTGTCTCTCTCTGTCTCAAAAATAAATAAAAGTTAGAAAAAAAATTTTTAAAAAAGAATTCTATTTAAAATCTTTTTGAAAAAGTACCCTGAGCCGGAAGGAGGAAAAGAAAAAAAAAAAAAAAAAAAAAGCAGAGAGCTACAAATCCTGAAAGATAGAATGTAAAATTATTCTCAGTGTTAAGTCACTATTTTCTGGGTGTAACATTGAAAGAGAAATAATTCCTTTCTTATAAATAGATAGAAGACCAGATGACCCGGTTGCATTCTCCAAGTTGTCACTCTGTCTCCGTCAAGTGGCAGCAGCTAAGTGCAGATGCACCTGAACCCCTGCAGGCCCCAGCCCAGGTGCAGTCCTTGTTCCTCAACCATCGACTCCTTGTCTACGGATTTATTCCTCATTGCACACAGGTGAGGAAGCACATGGCTGGTTTTAGTGTGGGAAGAACAATGTATGTTGCCAAGAGTTCTATTTTTCTTTTCTTTCCTCTCCTCCCCCCAGATCATAATATGCTGGCAAATTTTTCTGCTTCTGCAAACATAATGGGTAGTTACCTAGGGACATCGGGGAGCCTTTTAACTTCCATTGAAAGGAGAAAGAAAATCACTGTGAAACTAACCAAGACACTGTGGAGTGAAAAAGCTAATAAGGGATTTCCTTCCCACCCCCACCCCGTTTCAGGCAACTCTGTGTGCATTAATTCAGGAGAAAGAATTGTCTACAATGGTATCAACTACTGAACTTCAGAAGACAACTGGAACTGTAAGATTCAAAACTTGAACTATGAACTCACTGTTTGAAAGTTGTCATCATTTAATATTTTCTTGTAAAATGCTCCCTGTACTTCCTTTGTTGCTCCTGTTTCTCTGTGTTGACACTTCAGTACACAATATGATGTGGAGGATTGTTATCCGTACAAATGAGGACACTTGCATTCAGTTTCTAACACAGTACTTCTTCTTCTGGGGTTCTTGAGTCTCGTGTATCCACATGAGCATCAGTGGCTATGAATAACTGCAATGAAACTTGGTATTTTATATGTGAACAGTTTTTAGGGGAGGTTCTCAAATGTGTCCATGACTCAATAAAAGTTAAGTGCCACGATCCACCCATGTTATTTCGTATTACTCAGTATAATAGTCCTAGGCCAAGAGTAAACATATATTGAGAGTGTGTTTGTTTTTTCTACTTTTGGATTAAAAGCAAATGAATTATCACTGAAAAGTTTGTAGTATTTGCATTAGTACTTGATCTACTATAGTCAGACCTGGAAAATCCCTCACCTATGTATATTATATGTGCAGTTTGCTATTCATAGAAGTATTTGCATAAGCAGATAAACTATTTCCCAGACATTGCAGATTTTTGTTTTTTGTTTTTCGAATAAAATATGACTTGCTTTTTTACCCCAAATCAATAATTATAACTTATTATTTGCACGTGATGTGTGTATAGAAGTTTAGGGAATCTCCATATTGGTTTAAAAATTGAATCTAAGGAGGAAATTAAGTCAAACGATTTTGCCTGGGAAGAGGTCATTCTCCATGAAATTGCAGTTTTTTTGTTTTGTTTTTTTTTTATTATTTTTTTTTCAACGTTTATTTATTTTTGGGACAGAGAGAGACAGAGCATGAACGGGGGAGGGGCAGAAAGAGAGGGAGACACAGAATCGGAAACAGGCTCCAGGCTCTGAGCCATCAGCCCAGAGCCTGACGCGGGGCTCGAACTCACGGACCGCGAGATCGTGACCTGGCTGAAGTCGGACGCTTAACCGACTGCGCCACCCAGGCGCCCCGAAATTGCAGTTTTTATAGTGGTACTTTCTCTGTGAGCTGTGGCCCTACTGATAACAAAATTACAAGAGTTGGAATTATTATGGAAATGAGACATTGCCATTTAAGATCAGTTGTGTTTCTTCGTTGGAGAGAAAGGGAGGCGATCCTTTACGCCACACTTCCCAGGGCACATTTTGCTGCCCCTGCCCTTCCGAGTGGAGGTCACATTCACGGTGGGGCATCGCAGCACTAGGCTGACTCTTCCTACAGAAGAACAGCTTACGGTTTTTGAGATAAACTGAAGTGGCAAAATACCCTTTCACAGAAAAGGCAAAACTGTAGGGACAGAAAACAGATGAGTGGGTGCCAGGGGCTAGAGGTGACAGCCAGGGGCATGAGGAACTTTTGAAAGTGAAGAACTGTTCTGAATCTTTATTTCAGTGTGGTCATCACAACTGTATACATTCGTTACAGCTCACCAAACTGGACACTTTTAAAAGGGGTGAATTTTTTGTATGTACTGTTACACCTCAAGTTAAAAGCGGTTTTCTAAGTAAGACTTCAGTTAGAAGCCATTTGAATCTTTTTTTCCCCTTTGCTGCTTCAACACAGATGATACACAAGCTGACAGCGCGAGCTCTGATCCGAGATTATGAAGATGGCATTCTCCATGAAAATGAAACGAATCATGAGGTTCGCTCTTTCCCTTGTTCTTGATGCTTCTTAAATTGATTTTATCCATGGAAACGTAAAGTGAGGATAGCTGGGTGGAGAAGCATGTGGGGGGTGGGGTGGGAATTCATTGTTGTGTCTGTATTTTCTGCACCTACGGTGCTCAGTAGTACATGTTCGTTAAATGGATCAATGAAAGAGCAGATGTCATTGGTTTCCTGAGAATTCTATGACCATTTTACTCATCAGAAAGAGACCAGAAGAGGGCTCAGAGGACAGTCACTGAGTGCCTGTCATAAATATCACCTTAGATTTCATACATTGTAGGCGCTGGTAGTCTCATCGTAGTGATGAAGCAGCCCAGGTGCAGGGCAGGTAGGTGAGCAGTCTAAAGACAGACAGTGGAGCCAGAGCCTGCCCTGCTCCTTCTTCACTGAGCCGATGCGGCCCTTGGCAGGGGGTCCCACTCAGCCAGCCCACCAATGGCCTGGTGCCTCTGGAGCTGTGAACTTAAATGAGCTTAGGAGCAGTCATACCCAGTGCGCTCCCAGAAAGAAGGCACCAGAGTGCCATGCCTGGCTGTGAATGCAGTCACAGCCAGTGATAGAGGGCCTTGTGTTTTCACTGTTCTCCCTTGCTGCCCTTGGATTAGCAGCCTGTGTTCTGCTTTACTTTAGGCCTTCTTTCCTCTAGGGGCAGCTGACCAGCCCTGCCACCAAATACTCCTGAACAGGTCCCTCCACCTCTCCACACCTTGGACTCCCCATCTTTAAAATGGGAGAGGTGGACGGTCTGCAAAAGAATGCAGAAGCTCACCACACTTGAGGATGAGAGTTCTTTGTTAACCGTAAAGAGCTATGTAAATATGAATTATTTTTTCTATGACTTAGCCAGTCACTTGATCCTATTTTGCAGAGTCCCCTACTCAAGACATTCACACAGGGCCATTGACTCAATTTAACTTGAAATGCTAATTGTAAAATGCTTTATTTTATAGAAAAAATGCCTTGTTAGATTATTTAACACTTGTTTTATTGGTCATACATGGCTAACTAGTGAAAAATAAAGTGAAATGTGACTACACTTGTTTGATTCTATCCTAGATGAAGAAGCAAATGTTAAAATCTCTGATTATTAAACTCAGTAAAGAAAACTCTCTCATAACACAATTTACAAGCTTTGTGGCAGTTGAGAAAAGGGTATGTATTGTTGTTAATTCATGGCTATTTCATTTGTATTTGCATATTAAGAAAATTTCTCTTGCTCTGTCACTAACAGTATCCACATTCATGACTCACAAAGAGCAGGGGAAGAGGGCAGGGAGGACCATCAAAGCAGGGCCTTGCATTCATGAAGGGCCTCACAGTTAGCGTTTGTGATAATCTCTCTAAATGAGTCACATGTACTATTATTTTTAATGATATAATTATTAGTTATGTGTGTACTTCTGAGATATACTACAATTTTGTTACATTTTGGTACTTCTCATCTTTTATTAATGCGAGACCCTCAAAAAGTAGAAAGGGCTTGAGCTTCCCCTCCCGTGAGAGGCCCTTTCTCTTTCATAAATTTAAGAGGAGAACCCACAGAAGGCACTTTGTACACGGCACCCAGCTCAATAAAGAGGAAAGCTAAGCGTGTGCCTCTCTCTCTCTCTCCCTCTTGTGGCCCCAGACACCCAATCTGACACCCAAACGCACTAAGGATTCGCCAGGCTTTGGAATATATAGTAATCATTTGATTTGATGATGTCTGTTTTATTTCTACCTAATTGTGATTCAATATAGGATGGTAAGGAGGCACCTTCTCCTAATATTCCAAATATTACGGAACTTATTGCCAAAGAGGATGTAGATTTCCTGCCATACATGAGCTGGCAGGAGGAGCAACCAGATGCCAGTGTGGTACAGGTAAATGTTAATTACCAAATAAGTCGATATTGTGTTTTCATATTTTAATGATGGTGAGGGGAACCCTTTGCTAAAATAGCACCCTATTGCTTGTATATGCAGAAACTGTTGTCTCCCTCATAATGGAAAATATTTGCGCATTTATAAAAAAGCTGTTATGTGACTGAGAAAGCCACTATATATAAATGTATTTATAGAGTCCCAAAGGAGAACAACTGTGATTTGGCTTCATTCATAGACAAATAAACTGCCATACAGGAAACTAAAGTTATTTATTCTAAGTAATTGATAGGTTCATCATGAAAGTAGTGATAAAAGTCCTATATAGTAATCTAAATCCACCACGAATAATACTTAAAGCTAATAGTGCTTTATACTGTGGCCTTTGTAGCCAGAAACAGAAGCTGAGAAATGTGACTTGCATAGAAAGTGGAAGGCATATGCAAAACCAAAGGAACATAACAGTGCTATTAGACCCGTAGGTGTCTAGGTTGGTTAAAAAAAAAAAAAAAAGCCAAAATTTTGGAATTCAGAATCTAACGAAAAAATTTTAGAGGAATTTTGGGAAAATATGCAACATTCATTTTCCTCGATCCATTTTGAAGTTATTATGTCAGTTAAGAATATAAAAACACATCAGATATCATTTGCTTGCTTTGCTCATAAAACCATGTTTTGAGATGGTAAATGACAACAGAGCAACAACAAAACCACAGATGTTTCCTCAAATCCTGCATGCAGAATTTTTGTTTCATTTCATCTTCTAGTTGTCTTTAAAGAAAGGAAAGGGGAAGAATAACTTCTGAAAATCCTGTTTCCACGTTTTTTCTGAGTTTACTTCTCTGGTCACATAGTTCCTCCTAGATCAAAGAGAAATTGTAGCTGCCACAGAAGAGATGGGCAGTGGCAGGGTTGGGGGGTGACTGCAGCCCGCCTCGCAGACACAGAAGTAGGTGGCCTCTGAGGCAGCTCTCCGGTTGTTGCAAGCCCGCTGCCCTCTGGCTGAAGTGACTTCCAGGGGATTTAAAGAGCCTGCAGCTTTACTCCCCCTGCTCATTTTTTGCTCTTCCCCTTTTGGGAGCCAGACACTGAACACCAGGACATTCAAAAACAACTGCATATATGGGAATAATTAAAAAGTGTCTGCACAAAACCAACGAAAAGCTCAGAAAAGACCTACGAAGGCATTAAGTTTACTTCAGGCTAATTCTCAGCACAGAGACAGCCTACAACAATTAAAAAAGGAAAAAAAAAATAACAAGAAGCTTTTAGGCTACTAGGAAAGGGAAATCCCTCGTTTGATGAAGGGCACAAATGAAGAACTTAAAGTTAATGTCATATTTAATGGTAAAATACTGAATGGTTTTCCCCTCAGGGTGGGTACAAGGCAAGGATGTCTGACCTTACCACTTCTGTTCAACATTGTACAGAATATTCTAGCTGGTACCTAAGGCAAGAAAAAATATATAAAAAGCATACAGGTTGGAAAGAATCAAAACTTTCTTTACTCATAAGCAACCTAATTGTATATGCAGAACCTCTTAAAGACTCTATAGAAAGATTAGTGGCACTAATAAGTGAGTTTGGCAAAGTTACAGGATGCAAGGTCAATGTAAGAAACCAACTGGATTTCTGTATACTAGTAATAATCAGAAACTGAAATTTAAAAAACAATAGCACTTATAATACCATAGAAAATACAAAATACATAGAATCAAATTTGACAAAATATAAGCAGGACCTATACATTGAAAGTTAAAAAATTGCTGAGAAAATTGCAGTTGAAGAAGACCTAAATAGATGTTCTTGAATCAGATGATTCCATATTGTTAAGATATTGATTCTCCTCAGATTGATATATAGATTCAATTCAATACAAATCAAAGTCCCAGCAAGTTTTTTTTTGTTTAGAAATTGACACACTCCATAACCAGTAAAAAAAAAATTGACTCAGTAATCAAAAATCTCCCAACAAACAAGAGTACAGGGCTGGGTGGATTTCCAGGGGAATTCTACCAAACATTTAAAAAAGAGTTAACACCTATTATTTTGAAGCTGTTCCAAAACAGAAATGGAAGGAAAACCTCCAAGCTCACTCTATGAGGCCAGCATTACATTGATTCCAAAACTAGACAAAGACCCCACTCAAAAGAACTACAGACCAATTTTCCTAATGAACACGGATGCAAAAATCCTCAACAAGATACTAGCCAACCGGATCAAATAATACATTAAAAGAATTATTCACCACGACCAGGTGGGATGTGTACCTGGGATGCAGGACTGGTTCAATATCCACAAAACAATCAATGTGATACATCACATCAATAAAAGAAAGGACAAGAACCATATGGTCCTCTCAATAGATGCAGAGAAAGTGTTTGACAAAATACAACAGCCTTTCTTGATTAAAAAAAAACCCTCAAGAAAGTAGGGATAGGAGGATCACACCTTGAGATTATAAAAGCCATATATGAAATACCCAATGCTAATATTATCCTCAGTGGGGAAAAATTGAGGGCTTTAAGGAACACAAGGTCAGGAATACAAGGATGTCCACTCTTACCACTGTTATTCAACATAGTGTTGGAAGTCCTAGCCTCAGCAATCAGACAACACAAAGAAATAAAAAGCATCCAAATCAGCAAGGAGGAAGGCAAACTTTAATTCTTCATAGGTGGCCTGATATTCTATGTGGAAAACCTAAAAGACTCCACCAAAAAACTGCTAGAACTGATATAGGAATTCAGCAAAGTCACAGGGTATAAAATCAACGTATAGAAACCGGTTGCATTTCTATACACCAGTAATGAAGCAACAGAAAGAGAAATCGAGGAAGCAATCCCATTTACAATTGCACCAAAAACCATAAAATACTTAGGAATAAACCTAACCAAAGTGGTATAAGATCTGTATGCTGAAAACTATAGAAAGCTTATGAGAGAAATTGAAGAAGACACAAAAAAAGGGGAAAACATTCCATGCTCCTGGATAGGAAGAACAAATATTGTTAAAATGTTGATACTACCCTAAGCAATCTACATATTCAATGCAATCCCTATCAAAATAACACCAGCATTCTTCACAGAGCTAGAACAAACAATCCTGAAATTTGTATATAACTGGAAAGGACCCCAAATAGCCAAAGCAATCCCGAAAAAGAAAACCAAAGCTGGAAGCATCACAATTCCAAACTTCAAGATGTATTACAAAGCTGTAATCATCAAGACAGTATGGTACTGGCACAAGAACAGACACATAGATCAACGGAACAGAATAGAGAACCCAGAAATGGACCTACAAACGTATGGCCAACTAATCTTTGACAAAGCAGGAAAGAATATCCAATGGATAAAAGTCTCTTCAACACACGGTGTTGGGGAAACTGGACAGTGACATGCAGAAGAATGAACCTGGGCCACTTTCTTACACAAAAATAAACTCAAAATGGATGAAAGACCTATTTTGTAAGACAGGAAACCATCAAAATCCTACAGGATAAAACAGTCAACTACCTCTTTGACCTTGGCCACAGCAATTCCTTAACTTGAGATGTCTCTGGAGGCAAGGGAAACAAAAACAAAAATGAACCATGGTGATCTCATCAAAATAAGAAGCTTCTGCACAGCAAAGGAAACAATCAGCAAAACTAAAAGGCAACCAACAGAATGGGAGAAGATGTTTGCAAATGACATATCGGATTGGATTTGGATTGGATCCAAAATCTATAAAGAATTTATCAAACTCAACACCCCAAAAAACAACTAATCCAGTGAAGAAGTGGGAAAAATACATGAAGAGACACTTTTCCAAAGAAGATCCAGATGGCCAACCAACACATGAAAGATGCTCAACGTCACTCATCATCAGGGAAGTACAAATTAAAACCACAATGAGCTACCACCTCACACCTGTCAGAATGGCTAAAATTAACACCTCAGGCAACAACAGATGTTGGCAAGGATGCAGAGAAAGGAACCCTTTTGCACTGATGGTGGGAATGCAAAGTGGTGCAGCCACTCTTAAAACAGTAGGGAGGTTCCTCAAAACATTAAGAATAGAACTACCCTATGACCCAGCAATTGTACTACTAAGTATTTTCCCAAAGGATACAAAAATGCTGATTCAAAGGGGCACATGCACCCCAATGTTTATAGCAGCACTGTCGACAATAGCCAAAGTATGGAAAGAGCCCAAATGTCCATCGGCTGATGAATGGATAAAGAAGATGTGGGGGGTGTGTGTGTGTGTGTGTGTGTGTATACATACATTTATATATATATTATATATATATATATATATATATTTATATATTATATATATTATATATAAATGAAATAGTACTCAGTGATCGAAAAGAATGAAATCTTGCCATTTGCAACAGTGTGGATGGAACTAGAGTGTATTATGCTAAGTGAAATAAGTCAGAGAAAGACAAATATATGATTTCACTCATATGTGGAATTTAAGATACAAAACAGATGAATATAATGGAAGAGAAGCAAAAATAAGATAGAGACGGAGACAAACCATAAGAGACTCTTAAATACAGAGAACAAACTGAGGGTTGCTGGCGGGTGTTGGGTTGGAGGGAAGGGCTAAATGGGCAAGGGGCATTAAGGAGAACACTTGTTGGGATGAGCACTGGGTGTTATATGTAAGTGACAAATTACTAAATTCTATTCTTGAAGTTATTGTTACATTATATGTTTACTAACTTGGATTTAAATTAAAAGAAAAAACACTAATTTCAAAAGATAAAAAATAAATAAAGTTAATGGCACTGAAAAAAAAAAAGAAACTGACACACTAATTTCAAACGTTTTATGTAAGGGTAACAGATCTCGGCTAGCCAAAACAACTTTGAAAAGGAAGAAAATGCTGGAGGCCTTACACTACCTGATTTCAAGACTACTATTTTATAAGGCTACAGTAATTAGGAGAGTGTGATATTGGTGTAAAATAGACATCTGTACCATGGGAACATCACTGGAACATGTAACAGTTGGAACAGAGTAGAGAGTCTAGAAATATACCCACATATACAAGGTCAATTGATTTTCTACGAAGGTGTCAAGGTAATTCAATGGGAAAGGGTGATTTTTCCAACAAATGTTTCTGGAACAATTGGATAGCCATATATGAGACAAAAATGAACCTCTGCCCTCAGCTCACACTGTGTGCAAAAACTGATTGGATTGCAGACTTGAATGTAACAACTGAACAGTGCTAGAATATCTAGAAGAAAAAGTAGGAAAAAATGTTAGTGAATTTGGGTTGGACAAAGGCTTCTTAATTTTTTTAGGGTTGTTTGTTTGTTTGTTTGTTTGCTTTGAGAGAGAGGCAGCATGACCAGGGTGGGGGCAGATAGAGAGGTAGAGAGACAGTCCCAAGCAGGCTCCATGCCGTCAGCACAGAGCCTGATGCAGGGCTTGATCCCACGAACTGTGAGATTATGACCTGAGTCAAAACCAAGAGTCAGACACTTAGCCAACTGAGCCACCCAGGCACCCCAAGTTTTCTTAAATTAAAAAAAAATCTGTAAAAAATTGGTGAATTGGACTTCACTAGAATCAAAACTTTTGCTCTTTGGGTTGCCTGGGTGACTCTATCAGTTGAATGTCTAACTCTTGATTTCTGTCCAGGTCATGATCCCAGGGTTACGGGATCAAGCCCCACATCGGGGTCTGTGCTGAGCGTGTAGCCTGCTTAAGATTCTCTCTCTCTCTCTCTCTCTCTCTCTCTCTCTCTCTCTCTCTCTCTCTTTCCCTCTGCCTGTCTCCCTGGCTCGCATGCACACACACACACTCTCTCTCAAGTAAATAAAAAACAAAACAAAAAAACCACACAAACTTTTACTCTTCAGAAGACCCCCTTTAAGCAAATGAAAGGGGAAACCACACAGACAGTGAGAAAATATTTGTAAAACATACCTGGCAAAGACTTATGTAAAATATAGAAAGAAATCTTAAAATTCAATAATAAGAAAATCCAATAAAATAATGAACAGATTTGAACAGACACTTCACCAGAGAAGGTATACAGATGGCAAACAAGCATATGAAAAGATGCTGTACATCAGAATATGCAAGTTGGAATCACAGGGAAATACCTTTACATACCCACCAGCATGGCCTAAAAGGGACTGACAGTACTAGATGTGGTGAGGATGTGGAACAACCGTAACTCCCACGCGCTGCTGGTGGGAGTACAAAATTGCATAACCATTGTGGAAATTCTTTGGGAAAGGACTACTCTTTTTTAAAAATAGCTCTTTTACATTGGTAAAATGACAAGCTAATTATTTTTTTTAAGATTTTATTTTTAAGTAATCTCCAAACCCAATATGGGGCTCAAATTTACATCCCCGAGATCAAAAGGCACATGCTTCGACACATCCCCAAAGGCAAGGGAATTAAAAGCAAAAGTGAATTACTGGGACCTTATGAAGATAAAAAGCTTCTGCACAGCAAAGGAAACAACCAACAAAACTAAAAGGCAACCAACGGAATGGGAAAAGATATTTGCA